CCTCAAAAACTGTGAAATAAGCAAAGAGAAATCCTTGCAATCTCTATCAAAATAGGAGAATTCAGAATTTCTCAGCAGTGTGTACACTGGTTTTTTTGTTATTTTGTTTCACTATAAGTTCAAAGGTTGAGACCTGGTAACTTGGCTTTTTATCCAAACCACTGCATTTAAAAAAATGAACCCAACCCTGTTCCCACCCCTACTCCCAAATCCTTTGGAATTTGGATCTCAGATTCAGTCTCCCCTTTTCTGATCCCCATAATCAGACTTGGCATAAAACATTTGGATGCTGTGTTCCCAAAGCACGGAGGCTTGAGCGGTCTCCCTGAACTGCCACACTTGGCCTCGGGGTTCTGCAATCGTCACAAAACACTAAGTAAAACATGCTTGTCCCACGGCCTGAAGGTGACACCAAGTACAGTGTCTGCAATCTCAACCCCCAAATCTCCTATCTTTTCCCCAAATTTGGACCATTATACCCCAAACCTGGCAAGCTTTTAAGTCACTATGCATTAATAACACAAAACATGGTACTTTTAAGAACATTTATATTTATATATATAAAAATTAAATATATATAATATATAGTGTGTTTGAGACTAAAAATATAGTACATAATATTTTAAAAAAAGGAAAATGAAAAAAAGGCAGAATAGGAAAAGTTGTGAAGGACACAGATACACATTGCTAAAAATCTACGATGGTTTGTCCTAACAAAAATATTTTTCTCTCTTCCCTTAATTATCATCATGGATCCATTTTTTTTTTTTTTTACTGGGGTTTGGGTGGAGAAAATTCTTTTGGGGCCAGAAATGAAGGTTATAATCCCAAGAATAGTTAGGGTAGAGAATGTGACCGGAAGGAGCCCTGGTTCTCTCTGTGAGACTGGAAGCAGCCGCGTCTTCGGGGTCACTGTTGCTAACGAGAGTGTGCAGAGAGTTGGACTGTTGGCAATGTGGCTGCTCTCTTCGCGGAGTTGGGGGCATTCACAGGCGAGCATCTCCAGAAGCTGACAGAAGAGCCCATGGCCCAACACTTGACAAGACCACTGGTTGGGGCCATCAGAACCCCAGGAGCAGGGGGACAAGAGGCTGGTAAGAATGAGTGCTAGTTATATGCAAATGGAGTTATTATTTTTAAGGACAGGTTTGTACCAGAACTACCCAGTAAGCACAGCAAATATTTCTCCAGGAACAGGTCCTGGAGCTCCCTCACAGTGATGCAAGAAAATGGGATTCTGCCCTTCCCTCTGTCTCCCAAGTCACCTATCTTTCTGTCCCCTCCACCAGCCCAGAGGTGAAATGTCAGGACCAAGATTATAATGTGTGGCCTTTCAGAAAGAGGCTGGCCTCCAGGACAGGAGAGAAAATGGGGGGCGGTGTTGGATAGGGGGAGGCAGAGAGAAGGGCATGGGATATTTAGATACTAGTTTTATAGCCTCTTCACAAAAATAAATGCCTTTCCAATGACATCCCTGGGTCTGCACACTTCAGCGATCCATTGTCATTTCCGTGCCGGTCCCACCACACCAGGCTCCCCACGAGTGCCTTTTGAGTGAGTCCCTCAACATGCAGCGCGGCCTGCAGAGGCACAGGGCAATAAGCTGGCTCAGCGCACACAGCGCTACGCTGGCAGAGACGCCAGGGATTCTGAGGCTGGGGTGGCCCTTGGTAGTGTAGCAGCGGGGACAGATTTTCCCCACAGCAAAGAGAGGCAGGGATTGAGCCCGTTCAGTCTAACTGGGGTCTTGGCTTTAACATAATTTTCTTCAAACCCTATACTGACAGACCACCTGACTCCATGTTCAGGAGCCCAGGCCTTGCAGCTCCTGACAGTGTCAGCTGGGTAATGAGGGCAGATTCCAGGGCAGGGCGCTCCATCCTGTAGAGCAGAAAGGCTGCTCTCAGAGTAATGAGGGAAGCAGCCACTGCTGGAGTAAGAGACACAGTGCCTGGGGACAGTGTGGTCAAAGTAACCATTTCAGCCCAAGCAAGACATTTGTGAGGAAAATAGCACCGCCCCCATCCCTGGCCACTTCACTTTCTGACAAAGTTTTTGCTTAACGCAAACTATGTGGTTGGGCTTGGAGGGGTCCAGGATTTAGGATGCCGGCTAGGCCCTTCTCAAAGAGGCAATGGCTCACCCAGAATCATAAGAACCTCTTCAAGATCCAATTTGTCAGAACTGCTGGACCCACATGCCCTTCCTACGGGCGCCTTCACAGCGGCATCAGCTAACTCACGCCTTGCTCTGTGGCTCGAGGCACCTTGGCCTGCAGGCTTCCCCTTGTAAGTGGTCACTGGCCAGGAAAATGCTCCCGAGGATGGGGTGGCAGGTGGCTACTCCCATTTATCACCATGGAAGTTGCCTGAAACCTGGATACACAGTAGAGTCACCATGCCCTGCCTTGGCCAGAGACAGAGACACCCTTGCAAAACTGTCAAAATTCTGTGTGGGGAGTAGTATAGTTAGCCAATGGTCAAAGGCGAACCCCACATTAATTTTACTGACGTTTACAGTATGCTTGTTGTTGCTGTTTGGGGTCAAAGGGTTCCTTAGTGGGAATTCATTCACAATGCTTCTAACAAGATAATGAAGCCAGTGGTGAAAGCATTTTTCAAGGGAACCTTTCAACTCCTCCATCCCTTAGCTTACTGTTTGCAAGTCCTCGCCAGGGATGGCCATGCTGTTCCAGCTCACCAAATGAATTGAGAAATAGCAGAATAATTCTAGGTCTGTGCAACCCTTCTCCCTCGTCTTACAGGCCAGAAAATCGGAGGCAATGAAGAGTTTAGGCCACGGTCACTCAGCAAATGACAACTGTAGAATGGGGTCCCAGGTCTCCTGACTCCTAGCCCCTTCAACAAAACAAGACAATTAAAGGTGGCCACCAAGGTGACCACATCAAGTACTGAGGCACCATACTGGACGACTCCAGCTTTAGACAAAAAGTTCTATGTTCAAGGGCACCTTCCACTCCCCCAGATAAGTGGTTCCACTTGGTCTAACAGGGAGGTCCCAATTCAGATTCTGATTGGACCCGAGCATCAGTTGTAGTGAACAGAGGTGGCCTTGGTGGCTGATGTCTTTCTGTGCCCTGCACAGCATCACTTGATACCCGGGAAGCCCCAGTTAAGGTGTTAAAAAACAGAGAAGAGTGAAGTAGCTCTGTATTGGGCCTCAGAAAACTAATGGTCCCTGCAATGTCCACTGAGTTACCTAGTGACCTGGGGCCCTCCCTCTCCGCCACTTCAACAGAATGGACCCAACACTTAAACCAAAAAAGGGAGAAATAAGAGAATCTGACCAAACCCGCAATACAAAAATGAGTTTGGGAATATTCCTGTTTAACTGGATTACCCGTGGCTTCTGGTTTCTGTGAAAATAATCCAAATATGCATAAATTTGTCCAGAGGAACCACATCCTTAGCAGGCCTTCTCACTGAGCTCACATAAAAGGATTGCACAGGGAGGGGGTCAACCTCCAGGGGTGGATCTGGGTAAGAACCTGGATCGTGTTTCAAAGGGTGGGTCCATGGGGCTCTAGTCCCTTCTGGAGGAGAGGTAGCTGTGAGGTCAGAACTGGAGCTACTTTCGTCCTGGGCATAAGCTAACCCTTACCAGTGTAGGGGATGGCGAGGAATGCCACCCCACAGACCCCTCTGAAAGGGTACTGACGGCCCATGCTGATGAGCATGTACTCACTGAAGCACACGTGACTAGTGAATGGTGACTGTAAGAAAGGGCAATGCGCATTCTGGGCATTCCAGGGGAGGCACCCCAGACCACGCTTCTGGGGGAGGGGAGGACAGCGCTGGTTCTCTTTGGTTAGCCGGCGGTGGCTGAGAAGAGCCACGTGGACTGTGTGTATCAGCATGGGCCACCGTACCCACTCTGCCCTTCCTCACCAGGCCCCCTGACCCATCTGTCCCCTAAACTCTGCAACACCTGACATCATGTCTGGGGCATGGAATACCCACCACCTGCAGAGCCTCCCACACAGGGCCGGCCAACACAAGCTCAAGGCACTGCAAAAAGGAGGAAAATGATTGATCCAAAAGAATAAAATAAAATAAAAGACACTTAAGCAAAACCTGTGTAAAGAGCACATCTCCCATGCCCCCTGGAAGGTGGCCTCTAATGAGCTGTGGGCTTGGGGTAGTACAGGGTGTCTGAGAGCTAGGGCCCCTTCCTACACCTGTCAGCCCATCCGCAAGACAGGTCTCACCACCTGAATGTTTAAAAATGGATTCAAAGTGCTTGGAGATTGAAAGAGTAATAGAAGGTGTTAGGAATCTGTTGGAGAAGAACAGGTGCCCCATTTCCTTTCCATCGGTACTTATATTTGGGTGGGGGGATCCCTACAGCTTTATTACTTTTTTTCCAAGTGAGATTTTTATTTATTTCTTTTTTCTTTCAAAAATAGCCTCTAGCTACCCCTGCCCTCTCACCCACAACTCCCCGGAGCAGGCTCAAGAGTTCACACCAGGAAGTGGGGCAGACTGGGAAGAGAAAGGGGCTTGGGGGGTTCCCCTCATGTGGGTTCTGGAGACTGCTAGGTGAGTCAGGACAGGCTTCCTGACCTTTCCTCTTCCACCGTGACCTTCTGACCTATCTGGCTAGCCCAGCAGCAAAGGAAAGCGGGCAGCACGACCGGGACACCTGGCTCCTCTGCAGACTGACAGAGAAGTGTCCACAGGGGGCAGCCAGGATGACTGGCATTTTCATCTCAGCGGAATGGGGGCTGGATCTGAACTCAGTGCCAGGGCTTTTCTCGTCTAGATAACATAAATCCAAGGACCCTTCTTCAGTCCTGAGGAAGGAGAGAGACACCAGGGTACAACTGCAGATGACAGGACTGGCCGGGCCACCCTGTCTCCACCTGTATGCGCCAGAGCCGCTCACCCCCGTACTTCATGTCCCCGCGGCCACGGCCTACTCATCCCCAGTGAACCCCCATCCACGTACGGGAGCCCAGAGGGGTGGGATAGAAAGGGAACAGCCATCACTTTCCCCACCCGGTGCTGGGGGCCAGGCCCCGTGTGGGTCTGCAGACACACAGCCTCCCGAAGAAGAGGGAAGGGCAGGCCCGGGAAGCTGGGGCACGCACAGAGCACCATCCTCGGGTGGGTGTTTCCGGGAGACCTATTCCCCACCTGCCATGGCAGAGGAGGAAGGTTGGTTGGAGACAGGAGCAACGAGCAATGCCCCTGAATATCAGGGAACAGCTTCTCCTCTGCCCCGCAGAGATGCCCCGGCCCGGCGCCGGCCCTACACGTGCGTCTGCATGCGCTGCTGGAACCGCTGGCCGTAGTCCGAGTGCTGCGACGTGTAGGAGAACCGAGTGGCGGTGGCGTACTTGCCGATGGGGTCGTAGGCCTCGAATGGGGTCCGCTCCAGGCCAGAGGGCGGGGCTTGGGGGTAACCAAGTCGGTAGGTGGGATACCCTGCTGCCCCGGGGAAGGGATGGGAACTGAACTTCTCATAGTTCTCGTAGGACAGCTGGCTGGCTGTGTCGGTGCCCGCTGGGGTGGCTGGACCAGGGGCCGTGGGCTCAGGGCCGTAGTCGGAGGCCGGGGCGCGGCTGTAGGTGTTGAGCTGGGCGTAGCCGCTGGAGTGGGAGAGGCGGGAAGAGGGGCGGCCATCGAAGCGGGCAGGACCAGGGGCACGGTAGTCAGCATAGAGCACTGCCCTGGAAGAGGGGCGGTCTTCGTGGGCACGCACGTTGTAGTAGCCATTGGTGGGGTCCTGGGGCAATGGGAGAAGAGGATGGAGGAGGGAGCTCCCTCTGATGTGTGCGGGGCTCAAACCTCACCAGGGCCTCAGGGGGTCCTCTGGCTCTGCCTGGTGTTCCCAGCCAGTACCTCTCCACCTCCTTTGTTCCTTCAAGACATCTCCCAACCTTCCGTCCCCAACCTGCCCTCTCCATCCTCAAGCCCGGAACCCCGACCCTTTCCCCGTTTCCCACCTTCATTTCATACTCCTCCCGGGTGTCGATGGTGTCGCAGCGCAGGTCCTGCTTCAGGTCCACGTCATCCTTGAAGGACTGCAGAGCAGCAGGAGTAGGCATTAGGAGTCCTGTTCTCACCCCCTCCAACCCCATTCCCATACCCTGAGACCGGCTACTGATGAGAGGGTCTGGGGTCACGTATCCTCTCCCAGCAAAGACTTTGAGGTGTGGTGGAAGAGGCCAGAGACCTGTGTTCTAAGCACCAATTTTGTCACTAACAACGGTATGACCTTGGGTGTGGCATTGCCCCTCTCTGGGATCCAGCGATGAGGCAGCTAGATGTGACAATTCTAGGGGCTTCTAATTCTGACACTCGACAGGGAAAGGGTGGGACAAAGGAAGCCAATCGGGGGCCGCCTGCCTATACTCTGCTGGAGGAAAACAGCCTGGGAGTGTGTGAGAGTATGTGTGCACATGCAGGTGAGCACGTGTGAACGTGTAGCGTGTGCATGCGTGTGGCAGGACCAAGGTAAGCTGATTGAGGGAGGAGAGAGTGACAGAGGTTATCAGAGAACCGAGGTGGGGCCAGGCCCAAAAGTGTGCAGAGGGGAGTGGGCCAGGGAACCCCAGGACTCTTACTGAGTAGATGGCTTTCATGACTCGGGTCGCTGTGGAGACACTGGCGGTGTCGTCCTCCCGGTCAGAATGCATTGTGAGTGGCTCACGGTTCACTGTTTCCACCTTGATGTCCAGTTTCCTTAGGGTCACGTCCTTACGACCTGAGACAAGGGGGTGGGGGCAGCTTGGATGCTTTCTCCAGCCTCCGCAGTCTGTTTCTGGACCTACCTTGACTGGGAAGGACAACTGCCACACCCCTGTCCCCTCTGAGGCCCTTCCTGCTGGAGGCCCTGGAAACAGCAAGGGAAGGCTGTGGCCCGCGGGGCGCATACTCACTGCCTTTGCGACGCCGGTACAGGAAGAACACCAAGGCGATGAAGAAGAAGGTGAGCAGGATGCCCGCACCGATGGTGGCTCCAGCGATGATGCCCACGGGTAACACCTCTTCAGATGAGAGGAAAGGAGGAGGTAAGGATGGAGCCTCCCTGGGGCCTGAGCCCAGGGCTGGCTGGAGACAGGCTAGCTACAGGGCCACACGCTCCAATGGCCTCCCTGGATTATGTTCGGGGTTGGTTTAAGTCAAGGTGGGATTTTAGAGGAAGGTCTGCATTGGGTTTGGGTTTGGGTTTGGGCCCGAGTTTAAGCTTGATCAGAGTGGAGGGCGTGGTGATGTCTCATCCTAGCTGCTGGGGCATCACCCAGACCCTGGCTGGCCTTTATGGTTCGTCTGTCCCTCTCCCATAGCCCACCTTCCTATGAGGCTCCTTCCTGGGCTCTTGTTTGAGGTCAGCTGTCTCCACACGCTTCAATCTGCCACGTGTTCGGACCTCTTTTACCACCCACAGCACCGTGACGGTCCCATCTACACCTACCTACCCAGAAGTCCAACAAGGTTCCCCTTGCTCCCCAGGGCTGAGAAGGGCCTGGGACTCCTGCCTCCTGCTTCCTCTTCTCTCCTGGCAGTGCCGGATGGCTGTGTGTGTAAATGCCCCTCCCCTGCAGAGGCCCGGCCTGCTGGGCTGTGCCTTACTCTCTGCTCTCTTCTCCCACAATGCTTCCTTGCTGGACCCGCAGCTAAGACAGAACCGATGGGTCCCCAGCTATTTCCCCCCATCTCCCATGTCACATGGCTAGTTCAAAAAAAAATAAAAGCTTTTTCCCTCTTCAGACTTGGAAAACGTCAAAGGTAATGCCTTTTGTGGTCATACTAGAAGTGCCTTAGGGGAGGGAACATGTGTCTCCTATCAGACTAAGGATTCTTGAAGAGGTGGGGAGCCAGAACTTACTAGGCACCTATTCTAGGCCAGGTGGTTGGTTTTTTAGAACTATGTTTTTATTGATTTTTTAGACAGAGAAGGGAGAAAGAGATAGAAACATCGATGTGAGAGAGAAGCATCGATTGGCTGCCTCCTGCATGCCCCCTCCTGAGGATGAAGCCTGCAACCCGGGCATGTGTCCCAACCAGGAACTGAACCGGGACCTCTCAGTCCATGGGATGACACTCAATCCACTGAGTCACACCGGCTGGACTACGCCAGGTGTTTCATAAATATTCTCTCATGGAACCCTCATTCCCACCCAGTGAGGGAGGCAGTGGTATTCCCTTTCACAGATCACTTGACATTTCTCCAGCTGAAGTCATTTGCTGCCACTGTGTAAGTTCCTCCACTAAACCAACACTCCTGAGCAGGGACCACGCTCACACTGGTCCCTACAGACCCTAGCGCAGGGCCTGGCATATAGCAGATGCACTATAAATGTTTCTAAAAGTACATGGATGGTCCGGCCGATGTGACTCAGTGGTTGAGCAGTGACCCATACACCAAGAGGTCACTGGTTCAATTCCCAGTCAGGGCACATGCCCAGGTTGTGGACCTGATCCCCAGTGGGGGGCATGCAGGAGGCGGCCAGTTGATGTTCTCTTTCATCAATGTTTCTAACTTTCTCTCCCTCTCACTTCCTCTCTCTCTCTAAAAAAATCAATAAAGGAAAAAGAAAATTAAAAAATATATAAAAATAACAGTACGTGGATTTCCCCAGCTGAGCAACAAGGCCAGGTTCTAGTGGTGGGCCCCAGACAGAGTTCTCTCCCTCTGAGCCGGCTTTGGGAGAGAAGAGGGAGCAGACTCCCGAGGCTGTCCTGCGCCCTGGCTACCAGCAAGCATGCTGACACCTTGCTCTTCCAGCTGGATGATGGCCGTGCCCGGCCCGAAGCTGTTCCAGGCAGTGCAGTTATAGTGGGTCTGAAAGTCGGCCTCCATGACATTGTTGATGGTGAGTGTAGACAGCACCCCGCTGCCTGAGTTGGTCCTCTCCACTGTATAGCGTTCCAGGGTCCCCACCTCCAAGAAGTTCTCCTTCCATGCCCATGCCTGCGATAGGGAGGGCAGGAGCGGGTAAGAAAGGGGCAGGTGGCAAGAACATCTGACCCATCCTCAGGCATTCTTACCTCATGTGCTCTGTGTACCGCTAAGCCCAACCCAAAATCCCCTGAACAAACCGAAGTCCCCTGTCACACCTACTGCCTCACACCTTGGCACTGAACCTCCAGTCTGAGAGAAGCAGTTCCCAAACAGGACTGAGATATACGCCAGAGACATTCAGATACATCTAGGGACATTCTTTAAAATGCCGATTCTTGGGACTTAGCTCCTAAATAGGAATTGCTCTCTCTCTTTTTTAAATCCTCACGCGAGGATATGTTTATTGATTTTTAAAGAGGGAGGAAGGAAAGGAGAGAGGGAGAGAGAAACATGGATGGGAGAGAGAAACATCGATCGGTTGCCTCCTATATGTGCCCCTACCAGGGATCTAACCTGCAACCCAGGTATGTGCCCTGACTGGGAATCAAACCCACAAACTTTTGATGTACGGTCGATGCTCCAACTGAGCTACCTGGCAAGGGCAGAATCTCTTGTTATAATGCTCCCATGCAATGTGGGTGCAATTGATCCCATGAACTAACATTTGGGAACCCCTGATGTTATAGAAGTCCTGGGTGGGGTCCCTTCCTCTCTCTGGGCCTTTGTTCCTGCAGCGTGAAGTGCAAGGACCCGACTAGACAATCATCCAGGTTTCTTCCTCATAAGTCAGTCTTCAATCTCACCTTTAGCTAACCCAGAGCTGGCCCCACACGAACTTGCCCGGCTGGCTCTGGGGACCCAGCCACAGGCCCTGCAGAGGGGTGTCCCAGGCTCTTTCACCCTCACCTCCCGGAGTGCAGTCCCCTTTTGTGCCCCCTCCCTCTAAGCAGAGCATGAGGGCGGGGGATCAGCCATCCCGGCTCTGCAAGCAACGCCCGGGGAGCGGGCCACTCCCTGTTCGGGCAGCCGTGATAATGAAGTGTCCCTGGGCAGCCCTGGAGTCAGCCAAATGGTTATTAAATGTGATGAGGGGTTTGACGGTTAATGGTCATGGAAGGAATTAATGGCTCATGGTGTGGGGAGAGGAGAGCGGAGGGAGAGGAGCGGTGAGGGAGCTGGTGGAGAGGAAGGGGGGATGGGGGGGCACTGATGGGGCAGGGCTGAGAGGGAGGGAAGAGGAGGGGGCCAGGAAAAGATCAGGAGGGAAGGAAGGAGATGAGGGAGAAGACAGAGCAGGAGTGGTAGCCGAGGGAACTAGCAGTGAAGCCAGTGAGGGGCTCCCTGACCGTCCATCTCTGCTGTTTCTGTGGGTCGTCACAGCAGGATCCCTGCCCCCATTTTATGGATGATACTGAGGTTCAAAACACTATCTAGTTTGCTCAGGGTCACACAAGGGAGAGAGATGGTGGCATCAGAGCAAGGAGAGGGACAGAGAGACGTAAAGTTGGAGGACTGGAAGTAGAGACAATTAGGCGCCTAGAGAAAACAGGAGCCCGAGCTGGAATAGAGAGGCAGGTGGCTGGCTGTCCTCACACCCTAGGCCAGTCCCAGCACTCACGATGCGGTCTGGGGGCGGCGTGCTCCCGATGAAACACTCCACCTTGCCACCGTCACCCCTCACAGCATACTGCACTGCCTCGCTGGAGATAATGGGGGGCCCTGCAAGCAGAAGATGCAGCCAAGGTCGGTTAAAACCTACAGCGCCTGCCCACCCGGGCCCAGCCACGCTCAGGCCACTCACCATTCACATAGAGCGGCACCTCCCGCTCAGCCACTCCAATGCGAGGCACGATGGCCCGGCAGGTGTAGGTGCCGGCATCTGCCTGGGTCACCGACTTCAACAGCAGCTGGTTGCTGTTACTCAGGACCTGGGCAGAGAGAGCAGCCTCGGGTGGGGAGCCAGGAGGCCTGGGCCCCTAGATCCGTGTGGGCCCCGCATTGGACGTATTGGAAAGAAAGCAGGAAGGGCCACAAGTGAATTCCCTGAAGGGAAATAGGGTTCTGAGTCTGCCTGGTCCCTCCCCTGACTCTACACAGGTTGGCATTTAAACACACCGTCTCTGCACGAGTGGGCAGAGACGAGCGGGCCAGAGGGCAGACGAGCCACAGAGCAGGGTCTCCTCAGAGGGTCTGTTCTAGTGAACATTTCACCCCGAAATCCCTCCTCCTGCCCAGATCGTTTAATGCAGGTCTCTAGTGCTGTAGCATTCAACCTTTTCTTCTCTAGTGACCCATCCCGGCCCCCTCCTTCCTATGTAGCGTCCATTCTCCCCATCTCTTGCCACCCCAGCACCCCCATTCAGGCCCTCCTCCTTCCTCCCACATACAGGTCAGCATGTCCCTCCTGCTGCCACTGAACCAGCCAGTTGTTCTTCGAGGAGGGCAAGGGTTGATCGCAAACACTGTCCTTCTCTAAATCCCAAGACCTTAGAAATATCCCAGGTTCAACTTGAGAAATAATGCTGCACCTCCCTTGACTTCTCCCTCACGGGTGGCCGGGACAGGCAGCAAGCATCTTACCATGTTTGAGTCCTTTTTGGTCCAGGTGAGAGTGAGGGGGGGGTTCCCAACCCAGACACAGGTGAGAGTCACATCAGAGCCAATGTCCGTCGTCGTAGGTTTAGGGTCAACTACAATCCGGGGGGCAACTGAGGCAGAAGGGAGCAGCTCGTTAGGGTCTCAGTGCCATCAGGGTCCGCTCTAGTCGGCCTTCTGTTCTTTCTCCTGCCCTGCTACCTCCCCGCGTCTATCCTCCATCTCCTCGGCTTCATGGAGCCTCCCCAAGGTCCTTTATAGGCCCCTGCCCCTACGGCCCCTCCCTGCCCTCTGTCCCTGCCCCCGTATTCGCAGTTACTCACAGTGGACATTTACTAAAGTGCTGACATTGGTGCTGCCCACTTTGTTGAAAACCTCACAGGACACAGGCTCCGTGAAGAAGGAATAATCAACATTTGTCTCATAGCGACTTTCATGGGCATCTTCAATCGAGAAGCCTCCCTTGGCCCATCTGGGGAAGGAGGCAGCACAAGGGGGTTAGGGCTTGGAGCCCTCTCACCACATCCAGTGACAATGCCCTCCCCAGCACCCTCCCCACGGCGCTCCCAGACCCTGCTCCTCACACCTGTAGCCCAGGATCTCGGGGTTGGCTGTGGCCAGGCACGTAAAGACAACACGCTCACCCTCCTGCACCGTCTGTGGCTCGATGGACAGGGTCACCGTAGGAGGGTCTGCAAAGCAGGAGACAGGAAGTCAGGGTCCTTTCTGTGCCTCGGGTTTCTTTCTCGCTAGCACAGACACCCAGACACCACCGCTGTGCAGTGATCTGGGAATTTGAATTTGCAGTGTACCAGCTCAGATAAATAAGCCCATCCTCCCCATCTTTACCCCACGAAACCTCTAGGGGGCCATCTAGAGTGATGATCAGGGATGATACCAAAGGGACAAATTAATCAATGGGTGTAAAGGCCAACGGTGGCCACTAGGTGCCAGTGTGGGTTCCCTTGGCTCACTAACAGGGATGGGGGTGGGGCATCTCTCCAACTGCAGCCCAGGATCCCACCCCAACCAGAGCAGAGGTAATTTATTGAGCACATACCAGCCAGCATACTCCATGTTAGACGCTCTTACACTATACCTCATTTCATGCTCACAGTCCTGAGAAGCAGGTACAGGCCCACAATCCCTTATCTGAAACCCTTGAAACTGTGTGTTTCAGAATTTGGAATTTTTCAAATCTTAGAAGGGTTATAGTGTGCGTGGACTGTTTACTATGCGAGACTTCTAGCAGGGTCTGGGCAACACCCCGTAGTAACATACATTAATACCTCTGCAGTAAAACGTAGGACTATTCAGATTATTCGGTTAAATAAAAGAGTACAAAGAGCCTTGGTTCTGGTTTTGCCACCAAATCACTGTTATCTGGGAATTTGGGATCAGGAATTGTAGACCTGGATTTTATTTTCTGCAGGTATACAGAATTGGAAACTGAGGCTCAGAGAGACCTAATAATTGCCCAAGGCCACACTCTGGTTTAGACTGGGAGACTGCTGTACTGATTACTGATGCCTCTTCACCAGCCCTCCGTGCCCAGTGGGTCAAAGCAGGGAATCTTCACAGGATGAAGAAACTGAGCCTCTGTCCTGGGGCCCTGGAGGGTTATTCTGTGCTTCTCCACAGGTACCCACATTCCCTTCCCCACCCCACCCCTCCAGCCTGCTCTCCCCCTGGGCCCTGCTCACGGTGCACGTCAAGCTCAATGGAAGTCTCCTTGCCACTTGGGATGGCCTCGTTCATGCTACGGCAGGTGAAGACACGCCCTATGTCCAGGTCTGTGGGGTTAATGAGCAACTGGCTGATGGTGGTCTCCCTCTTCCCATCCTTCAGCAGTTCCTAGGGTGGGACGAGGGTGGAAGACAAGGTCAGTCTAAAAGCTCCCTCCTCTGCTCTCACGATGACTGGACTCAGAGCTGGGGTACCTAAAGCTCAGCCCTCGCCCCCAGACCCACCCTCTTCCCCAGGTTTGGTTTGGTTTTTAATAGTAGACTTTAATTTTTAGAAAAGTTTTAAGTTTACAAAGAAAATGTAAAGATAATACAGAGAATGCCATGTGCCTTCCTCCCCCACCCCACAGTTTCCCTGTTATTAACATGATATAATAGTGTAATACACGTGTTAAAACCAATATTGACACATTATTACTTAGTTTACAGAATTTTAAACTAAGTTCTATGTGCTACAGAATTTTCCCCATGGTTTTGAGCCTGATTCCTAGAATTCTTTGAGTCCAGCTTAAGCCCCTTCTATTCTGCAGTCTCCTTGGCCATCTCGGCCCTCCGGGCTCTCTCCCAGCCTGAACTTGTGCCCCTCACAGGCAATCTGTCCTGCACACTGCTCTGGGCACAGTCTGCCTTGCCTCTTAGGCACTACGCCTGGGTTCTTCTGAGTTGGGTCTCTCCTGCTAGACCATACACTCCTTGAGGGCAGGGAATGGGCTCACAGGCTCTAAGGCTCATACTGGCTCAGTGGATCAAAGGAACCCTGGGGCTGGTTTCCTTGTTGCACACTAAGGCATACCATACTATTAGCCAAAGAGAGGAAGGGAGCAACAGATAGGAACATCGATGTGCGAGAGAAACATCTATCGGCTGCTTCCTGCACACCCCCCACTGGGGATCGAGCCCAAAACCCAGGGATGTGCCCTGACGGGGAATTGAACTGAGACCTCTCAGTCCACGGAATGATGCTCAACCCCCTGAGCCACACTGGCCAGGCCAAAGTAAGGCCCCACTTTGACAGCAATACACACGTCTCCTGGGCCAAAACAGTACCAGCCCAATGAAATAACAGTGGCTCCCTTGAGCTGCTTTATATTAATGAATATTAAAGGGTGGGGTGGATGACAAATGGCCATTAACAAATCAGCTTGTTGGGTTGCCAAAATATTTTAAAACATGCAGTTCTGAAAGAGAAAAATAACAGCGTTCTTGGTAGTGAAAACATTAAGCACCACCGAGGCCAAATTCTCATTTGTCAAATGGTGAAACTAAGGCCGAAAAGAAGTGAACTGTCCAAGGTGTCGAGGGCAGAGCTCATCCAGGTTTGCCCTGGAGCGTTCTCATAGGCGCACAGGTGAGTGTCTGTCTCCCCACGTGGGAAGTGTGTACTGCAGCACCTAGCAAAGGGCGGGATATACAGATGTCTGCCCACCGCTGGCGGAAGGAACTCCAAACAGATCACCGTTTGCCTTGCCAGGTGATCCTGGGCAAATGGCTTGATGTTTCTCTGCCACAGGCTCTTCTATGAAATGTACACAATGATCCCTGCCTCCTCGGCCTCTTAGCCAGCCAGAGGATGAGGGAAGGAGGGCGAGATGCTCAGTAGGCAGAGCACGGTCTGACCTAGGTACAAAACCCCAGCCCTGCTGCATGCCAGCTATGTGACCGGGGGCAAGTCACGCAACCTCTCTGCCCATCAGTTTCCTTGTTGTGAGTTGGAAATAACACCTAACTTATGACACTGTCCACAAAAAGTTTAGCATACACAATTCCTGACACACATTAGGTGTTTCATCAACATAGCTATTATTACTATTGTTCTTGGTCTCTGCTCAGCTACTGAGTGGCATTATGGACCTGGAAAGTCATTTCTCTTCTCTGAGCCTCTATTTTCCCAATTGTATAACAAGAGGGTTGGTCCAGACGCCCTTTAAGGCCCCTTCTCACATCTGCACCCCCAAGTCAGACTCATAGAGGACAGGAAAGATGACCTGGGACGAGCCCCAAGAGGAGGTGGCGGAGCATGCAGTATCTCACCGTGCTGGCCACAGCACCCTCCTGCTGAGTCCCGTCCCGGAACCAGATGATAGTAGCAGCAGGCTTGGCATTAAAGGCTCGGCATGTGAGGTTGTGGGGGGTGCCTGCTTGCAGCAGAAGTACAGGGCCTCCATCAATCTTGGTGTCCTCTGGGGGGACTATGGTAGAGAGCAAAGCAAAGTCAGTCCAGGGTGCCATGTGGCCAGCACTGCCCGGATGACTGAAACCGCTGACCCGGAGGCATCCCTCTCTTGGAATGTTCACCCCTGGAGGAGGCAGTGCCACCCTGACCCCCTAAAGTGAAGTCACTGCATCTGTGCCTTCCTGGGGGCTTCACCCAAGGCCCTCCGCTCACACAGGTTTCTTGCCCTCCTTCAGCTTTTCTTTTACAGCCTGTACCGTGTTCTGGTACTGCATCCCTGGCCATTGCTCAAGGCTACGTACAGGTGAAGGGACTGGCCTCGAATGAGGAAGGGGCTGGGCTAGCTCCAGGTTTGAGTTCAGCGCATACCTTGGGGGCCTGGCACAGAAGGCTGGCTACCTCCACAGAGCTTCTTCCATCCATTCCCTCCGATCTGCTCCTCTGCCCTGCAGTAGCCAGACAAGCGAGTCTCCCACAGCTGTCCCCCTACCCCATGGACTCCGACTCCAGTCCCTGCTGGCAGGCTATTTTCTCCATAGCACAGCTAAGACCGTACCACTTCCTTGCTCAAGCACCTTCAATGGCTACCAACTACTCTGGGCACGAGGTCCAAGCACCTCAGCCTACTGTCCAGGGCTCCTCGGGCCAAGTCCTGCACTTTCACACGTACTCCTCTTTGCTTTTGCTCTTCTTTCCTTCACAGCTCTGCTGAGGTGCTGCCCCCCCTTATTTTCACCCTCACTGCTGCACAGGGCTTTCCATGTCAGGTCCCCCTTGCCCCCCAACCACCACCTCGGCGGTCCTGGCCAGTCCCTCAGAGCCCCTCGCGCCACGTGCCTTGTGTCTGGGTTACTTATGATGATTATCCACCCCAGCCAAAATCATTATTCCTGGAAACGCAGGGACCCTGTTCACTAATAGTACAGTCTCCAGCGCCCAGAACTTGCCTGAAGTAGGCTCTTGCTAAGTGCTTAAGAAAGTGAAATGCAGATGTCTGACCCTAGGAAATGGGGGCACCTGCTCCGCCCCACCCCCAGTTCTCTGAATGCTCCGTGCACCAGACTCCAAGTTCCCCGAGGGCAGGCACTGCTTCTTGTGTTATCTCAAAGCGCCAGTGTCCAGCCCAGAGCTCGGTGGCTAGCAGATCCTCGGGGATATTAGCTGCATTACTGAATGAATGATTAATAAGATACAGACAAACTTTGATTATAAGCTCTCTGGTCCACCTACTGTTCCCTGGGCCAGAAATAAAAAGGGGTTTGCTTGTTTGCTGGGACTCAGAGGGGGAAGTCTTCTCCGAGGAAACCCTTCAGAGTGGAGCGGGGAGGCCCACAGCCCCGTGGTGGGTGGGCTGCCGGAGGTCTGTGACAGGATGGTCCCCAGGCTGCAGTTTCCAGTGGGAAGGGGTTGCTCGCAGCCTGTTCTAGTGTTCTGCTCAACTCACATGTGCGAGGGAAAAGCATGCAATTCAGGACCAGGCTGCCCTGGTTGTAAATCCTGGCACCTTTATTTACCTGTCTTATGATCTTGGGTGAGTCCCTCAGGTCACGGGGTCTTAGTTTCTTCAACAGAGACATGCCAGTGCCTGCCTAGGGGACTGCATGAAGGTCAGGGGCAGCCTTGGATATGGACTATAAGGTGCAGGACACAGGTGACGTGTGGAATGTGTTCATTTTACTGCTCAGACAAGAGCCAGCATTTCCTCCAACTCCTGGCTAGCAAATCGTCCCTTGAATGCCCGGGTTCTCCTCTTTGCTCTCTGGTGTGCCTGGTCCCAGGGCCAGATGGGTGCAGGTTTGGAAATGGGGTGGGAAGAAAAGTGGAAAAACCTACATAAAGAGCTGACACTCAGGGTCTCCTGATCCACCTGGGACCCCCCGAGGTCACGCCCTGCTGCTGCGCTTCTATGGGTGTGGGACGGGAGGCGAGGCGTACCATGTCCAGACACGAGGAGTCCCTCCTGTGAGGAGGCTTCCCTCCCCGGGTAACCTTTGCCACCTCTGCCACTAGCCCACCTGTCTCTTCGATTCTGGGACACAGAAATAGGTTGTTGAAGTACCTGCTCAGCCATTAGTGAGACAGCATGTGTTCACGTGTATGTTTAGGAACACATTTTTATGATTTGTGACAAATTTGCATATCATTGCAGACATGTCTGAGGCCTCAGTTTCCTTGTTTATAAAATTCCCATAAGAACACTGACATCTATTCCCTGGGGTTGTTACTGTGAAGGATGTGAAGGCAGCTGTTAACTATAGTGTCATCGACAATATCTCTGCCACCTATTGGATGCTCACCGGCTGTCAGTCAAAGTGCCTCGTGTATGTGATGTCACTTAATCCTCACCACCAAATATATTTCATCAATCCTTTCATGGTAAATACCATGAATCCCAATTTACGGAGGCTCGCGGAGGTTAAGCAAACGTGCTCCGAGTCAGGAGAATGAGTTAAATGGCAGGGCTGGGAGGTGGACCAGGCCCGCTGACCCTGGGCCATGCTCATCACAGCTGCACTCGAATTGTTATCACTGTGAATAATGATGGAGCTGCAAGTCTACAGATTTATATTGTGTCTGGGTCTGTCTGTGTCTGTGTCTGTGTCTGGATCTGGGTCGGTCTGGGTCTGGGTCTGGGTCTGGGTCTCTGTGTGTGTGTGTGTGTGTGTGCGTGTGTGTGTCTGTCTGGGTCTGCCTGGATCTGTGTCTGGGTCGTTCTGGGTCTGGGTCTGGGTCTGGGTCTGGGTCTGTGTGTGTGTGTGTGTGTGTGTGTGTGTCTGGGTCTGCCTGGGTCTGTGTCTGGGTCGTTCTGTGTCTGTGTCTGTGTCTGTGTCTGGGTTGGTCTGGGTCTGGGTCGTTCTGGGTCGTTCTGGGTCTGAGGGGTGTGCAAGGCAGCTTCTCGTAGTCTTGCTGTGGGAAGAATACAAGGCCATTCTGTGAAGAGGTCTAGCCTGGCGTGGGGTTTGGAGGGGAGAACACTGAGGGGCATGACTGCTGATGGGGTAGTGGATGAGGCCGGCTATGTGCAGGGAGCTGTTACCAAGCACTGACACAGCCCACTCGTGACCCTGCCCTGCCCAGTGTCTGGGCCCCCATGCCACCGTGAGAAAAACTGCACATATGCAGGGAAGCAGGGAAGGCCAGGAGGAATGTCCTGCCTTCTTATTGCCTCTTTGAGACAGCAGTTGGCAAGTAATCTGAAAATTTAAGAGAGACAAAGGGGGAAAAGCAGCAGTCTGACTAACCTTTCATCTCTTTTATTCTTGGGGCCTTCTCTTGCTCCCCTTAACTGCCCAAATCACCCAGATAGGCCACCAAGGTCCACGCCCTCAACACCAGTCAAGCCTCCAAACAAGCCAGTCAGCTCCCCCAGGCATGTGGCTCTCCCTCACTGGCTTGCAGGCCGTTTAACAAGTTACTCTTCAATGCAGGGTTCCTATTTACAGTCTCCTCTTCCAGGGAGCCTTCCTTCATTGAGCCAAGCCACTGGATACCTTATCAGCCCTGTCCCTGCCTTATCTAGGGGCTTGGTTGGCCTTTCTTCAGTTCTCTGTATTTCTCTCTGTGCTTGGGTGTGAAGGGGAAGGGAAGAGGGTGAGGGCCTTCTCATCAGGACGGGAATTCTCCCGGGCACCTGTTCTGGCTCCCAAAACAGAGGAGTGAGAAAGGGAAGAAGAAGAGAGAAGGTTTCCTAAGACTCCCATGGTTCCCTTCGAGTGCCTGGTCCAGCATGGGGCTCACACACTCCAACAAGGGATGGAAGATGATGTCTTATCTTCCTTCTCATGCCCACTCCTGGCGGTCAACTAGCGCTTGCTCCCTAACCTCGGTCCTGCTCCCTGCGGAGTCTTCCCACGCCGACCTCACCAGAGAGGAACAGCGAGTCATCCACCAGCCTTAAGTCCTAGTCCTTCACGGCCTTTACATCTAACATTAGCGGTGGGGCTCCTCCCGTCCTCGCTTATTCTGACACCTCACATTTGCCCAGCCCTTCACAGTTTACAACTCTTTGCACAGACAGCAGCAGAGGGGCCATTGCTAAGAAAAGGCTGGCATCATTATGCCATGTTACTGATAAGAAAACTAATGTCCAGAGGTCATGACCTCTTCAGACTCATGGTACGAAAATGGCCCAGGTCTCCTGGTCCCCGTCCAGGACTCCTCCTGCCACACTCCAAGTGTCTGTCGGACCCTCCCTACCAACCCCTGTAAAAAAATCTCCTTGTGTTCAAACTCGCTCATCTCGTTACCCTGTTCCTTCCTCCCACCCCTCCCGGGGGCTTCCCCACTTGAACACATTCTGCTCAGGGGAGGAAGAGAGGGAGGAGAGGGAGGGGCAGATCAAACAGGCAGGAGAAAAGAAAGGGACAGAATCGGTAACAAAAAGAAAGACAGAGGGCCGCAGGCAGACAGAGTCAAGCAGGGACAGAAGCACCGAGAAGCCGAGGCCCACGAGAGCCCCGAGCTTGAGGGGAACAGAGGCTGATGGAGCCAGAGGTCCTGCGAGAGCCAGACACGTTCTCGTGCTGTGTGTGGAAGAGAGTCCCCCCACTGTGAAAATGGCCCTGGGGTTACCAGAGAGGAGCGTCCTCCGGTGCCGGTCGGGTGGCACTGACAGACATTACCTCCTCCGGGACCCATCCAGGTGCAGGCAGGACCCCTCCCCAGCCCTCAGCCCTCAGCCCACTCCTCCAGCCCTGCTCCCTGGTCCCTCAGGAGGCTTCCAGGTGAACCGAGAGGAGGAAAGGCAGCAGAGAAGGGGAAGTGCTCAGTGAGGCTGAGAAGGAGCAAAGGGGGCAGTTTGTGGGGCTCCAGGACAGCAGAGCGGGAGAGAATGGGAGAAGCTCCTCACCGGCAGGCCTGCCTGCCAGGAGAGACCAGGGAGACGAGGTTCGAGGCTCCGTCATCCCAACACTCCTCTGCTCACACAGCCTTACACCCGAAGGCAGAGCCCAGCCCCTGAACACCTCGGCACAGGACACCAGACCTCACACCCCCGCTATGTTCCTCCAGTGGCTGCCCACAGCCCCATTTTGCTGTCTTAAATCTGGACCTGGCTTCAAAAAAACGCAAAAGAAGGAGTTGCGGAGGAAAAGCTAGGGAGATAGAGGGGCAGTGGGGACAGGCATGAGGCCGGAAACAGAAAGGGAGAAGTGAAAGGTGAAAGAGGTATAACTGGAGAAGGGGAGGGACGGACAGGATTCCAAGAGAAAGACAGGAGGTGTGGGCTGAGGGCCCCGAGGGACACTGGGGCTATTACTGAGCACGGTGAGTTTCGCCCGCCGGGAGCGCAGGGCGGCCTCGGTGGCCTGACATTCATAAGAGGCATCGTCAGAGAGCTCGGCGTCTGTGATCTCCAGGTTGTACTGCCCGGCGTCTGCAGAGCCCACGACCCGGTACCGCGGCCAGGCTGCAGGAACAGAAAGGGGGAGCCCAGCGTGAGCCCCATCCAACCTGGGAGCCAGCAAGAATGACCGGGCATACCCTCTGCCCACTTCTCATCCCCACGTCAGGGTCTACATCCCATTCCAGGCCAACACTCCACCCTTTGCCCTTTCCTGGGAACCCATCTCCGTTGATGAGGATGAGGTCCCAGATGCGGACAGTGTGAAGCCATCACCTCCCACAGTGAGGCTGAGAGGCACAAAGCCAAGGAGGAGGGTACAGGGTGGAGACAGGAGGTGGGGTGGGGTGGGGGAGCAGATGTGGGGGGTGAGCAGGAGCAGATGAAATCTCCGAAGCAGTTTGCAGAACACTGTCTCTCACAATAGAGGAAAGAGAGAAAAGATAAAGGTGACAGCAGAGAGAAAGAAGAGGAAGAGGGAGACGCATGGGTACTAGGACACACAGGACACTGCGGCACAGACTTGAGCTCGCTGGGGCCAGAGGAAAGTCCAAGGAAGGCCAAGGTCTTACTTCCAAGGGAGGATGGATGAGGCAGGGTCCTGCCAGCTCCCTGAAGGAGCCCCTGCACCAGATTCCTGTTCCCCGAAGAAGCTGCGGCGGGGGTGCCTCAAAGACCCCGGCCTTCTGCAGGGTCTCCTTGCTCCTGCCCGCCCCGTCCTGTTCCCAGCATCAGCTCCCTCCCATCACCTCCCTCTGTCCAGAGCTACTGATCCTTCTCACTCCATATCTATTGATATCTCTCTCTCTCTCCCCCAATTTCTTTCCCTTTCTGTCATCAATAGATCCACTGGATCTGTCTCTTTCCTTTATACAGATTGTTTTATATAGACAAATTTCCCCCACCTGTGTTAATACATGATGCCCACAGCAAATAATCTCAACTCCTTGGACAACAAAAAGAATAAAAACATACAGTCCCTCTCATACTTGTATCATTACACTGCTTTACAGTGAACGGTGCGTTTTCACAGAGTATATTCTCTCCTTCGGTTCCAAACTCACACAGGCACTTATAAAGTACACAGGTCTGTGACTATTATACTACTTTCCACGGTGGGAAACCAAGGCCCAGAGCAGTGAAGTGACTCTCCTAAGGTCACCCAGCTGGTAGGTGACAGGAGCAAGACCAGCACCAGGAGTCCTGACTCCTGATCTACGCTGCTAGGCAGCCTCTCCCAAAGCAGCTGTACTGGCTTTGGCCTTCAGGAGGTTGGATTTGGTTGGTTGATTTATTTATTTATTACCGACTCGTTACATTTGCCTCCGCGCTGGCTCCAGGGTGCTTAATAAAAGCTTGTTGAATAAATAAATAAGTGCTCAGGCTAATATTAAAATGAGTTTTTGGCCTCTGGGCAGACACTGCCTGGGCGGGGGCAGTAGAGGGGCTGGAACAAAGCCAGTCTGGCATGAAAGTTCCCTGTCTCTCTCCTGCTCTGCAGGGGACTCTCTCCCAGCACCTCCTGCTTCACCTCTTTCTGCCTGAAGCATCTCTCCTGGTGTCTGTCCGTCTGTCTGAAGCTCTTTCACATAAAGATCTCTTGGTTTCCTTTGATCTCCCAGGTTTCTGGCTGCCTTCCTTGAGCCAGGCCACAGGAAGAAACAAAGAATTGCAGGGTTTGGAAGACAGTGGAGACACAGCTCAGGAGGAGGAGAAGAAAGCCGGACCCACACGCACAGGAGAAGAGCCTGGAGCACAGAAGAGGGATTCTGAGTCCAGGAGTCTATTTTGAGGGATGGGGGGGGGGGGGATCCAAAGATGGGAGAGTCTGGATGCTGGGCTAGCTGGGTGGCCCCACTCACCTTTGAGTCCCTGGCCCATGCCTAGAGCCAGCCCGTCCTTGGTCCATTGCACGATCCCTGAGTAGTTGAGCAGCACGCAGGGGAGCACGGCCCGCTGTCCCGCCACCACAGTCTGGTCGGCTGGCTCCTGGCTGAAGCGAGTCTGGGTCCCTGGCAAAGCCAAAGCCGGTGCTGGGTCAGGAGATGCATGAGGAGAGGTGCTCCACCAAGAGCCAACCATTCCCAGGCTCCTGCTCCACCCTGCATCAGGCTGGAGAGATGAAGCCTGGGCAGGTGGACCTCCAGTCGCTGCCCCACTCCAGCCCCAACACCTTCCCTGCAAGATCTCACATGCTCACCCGTGATTCCCTTCCCCCTCCATGGTCCACAGGAATGGTTTCAGCAACCATAGGAAGTGGAACAATATGATGTGAAGGCCCCAGAGTCCGGGCTAGTGAAACCCTCTCATTTTGCAGATGAAGACACTGAGGGCCAGGAAGGTGAGTAACTTACCCAAGGACACCCAGTGAATGAGGGCAGAGTTGGACATTTGAACCCAAGCTCCATCCTCCAGGTCCTGGGCTCTTCCTCTACCCCTGCCCCTTCCCCTTCACACCCGTGTCAGTTCGCTTCAGCACGGGATCCAAAGTGCTGAATAAAGGCTTACTGAATTAATAAATAAAGAAGTACTCAGACTGATAGTAAAATGTTTTTGACCTCAGCAGACACTGCCGGGGCAGGGGCAGGAGAGAGACCGGAGCCAGTCAGGTGTAAAGCACATTCCTCTCTCTCCGGACGTCGTAACAAATGCTGCCGGTAGTGATGCAGCCCCCCAATCCTGAGACACAAATGTACCACTGGACCCCTATTTGGATATGCTTTGCATGAGCCAATGTGAGGTAACACACAGGTGCAACTATGAATGTGCCCAACGAATGCATAAGGGCCACTGCTATGGGGCAGATGTGTCCACGTGTGTATAAGCTGCCTACATGGCTGTGACCCTACTTCATGGCACACTTGCCCTGTGTATTCAGCCCCGGCTCCCACGCAGGGGGCGCACCAGTGCACAGAAGGACACCCTGCACACACTTGGCCTCCTGCTCTGTGGGAGCTACACACGGCTGCCTGGCTGGCAGCTCGGCCAAGAGCATTTGATTAGAGAACTGCAGAGTAATTGCCTTTAATTGTGGAGCCTAAATGAAGCAGGGAATTGGATGGCGGTTTCTTCTCCCCAACAGCTTCCACCCACCCACTCCAGCCAGCCTGCTCAGCGCAGTGGCGGGCAGGCCTGCACAAGGTGTATGGCTCCGGGAGGGGGGCCCCAGCTTCCTGGGCAGGGTTGTGGGGAAGAGGCCAGGAGATGGAGGGGCTGTGGGGCAGCACAAGGAGAGGGCTGGGGTATCCTGCCATGTCCCCAATTTATCACACTGCTGTAACCAAAATTATTTGTCCCCAGAACTCAGGGAACCCCTTCCCTTTCTTTCCCTCTCTAGCTCCCAAGTCTTTGCAGAGACCACCACCCCAAATCCAACTGTTGCCAGACTAAGCTTTCCAAAATTCCTCTGCTTCTCCATTACTGTGTGTAAGTGAGCAAACGAAACCTGTCCCTCCCCATTCCAAGACCTTGCTCTAAGTTATCGGAGATAAGACTCTAGTCTCATCCCCCCTTCTTTTTCCCCTCTCCAGCTTCATTTCTCCCCTTCTTTCCAGACCTGCTCTGCATGACTCTCTCCCAGGAAGTCCTCCCAGACTGGTTCCTTAGCTCCTCGGGCAAACACAGCTTGTCCCATCACCAGCCCTGCTGTGACAGGGAATCCACGGGGTCTCCCATCCCAAGCTATCAGAGGGCCTGTGCCCACACTTCTGTTCATCACAGGGTAGAGGGCAGCAGGTGGATGGGGCGTTTGCCCTATCTGTTCCACCGAATGAGGATCTCTGCTCGAGGCCAGGATCCATGCACGACATCTCTTTCCTCTGAATTTCCCTGCACATTTGACAGCCGCATTGGTTGCTGCACATACAGGGACCAAGAAGTGGAGGCCGGGCCAGGAGTGGACTGATGGCCAGCATATGATTTAATACACAGAAGAAGCCTCTTTGGGTTAAGCATGCAAATCTAGCTCTTTGGGTCTGCAGGGGATCAGGAAGTTAGACATGGGCTCCTCCCCCACACTCAGTGAGCAGCTCCCCAACTCCGCTGACCTGACAGTCTGCCAAAGGATAGGCTCACCCATATTTCCAGGGGAGGGGGTGGGTCAGGTGAGCAGCTAGCATTATTAATTCAGGCATTGTCCTCATTATTATTCAAATTTATTCATATCATTGCACATTTTTCTAGTGCGGCTTCATGCTGCAAACTCTCCATCCTCCCAGTTCTCCTTCCCACAGCACCCAGAGCCCAAGCCAACGGCTTGGGAATGGGGTGGCCTGTGAGCCTTGGTTCAAAGATGGGATTTATATTCACAGCTTTCCTGTAGGGGGCTTGGGCACCCTGGTTTGCTCAAGTCCAGAGGACAGTGAGAGGCTGGCTTCTTGTCCACTGAAGCAAGGAGGCAGCTGACCCCGCGGTGGGACAGAGCTCTTCGGGTCAGAGTCAGAGACGCAGATCTTGCCAGAGGGAGGAGAGGTGTGACCTTGGGCCTGTCACTCCCCTGTCTGGCCTCCGTTGGCTCACCTGTACAATGACAAGTCTGGACTAAGAACTGCAAAGGTCCTTGTTAAGAGCACAAGTTTAGGAGACAGACAGGTGTGGCTAGCGCCTCTACCACTTCCTGACTGTGTGAACTTGGCCCAGTCACTTACTCTATAAACCCCACTTCCCTTATTGGTAAAGTGAGGGGTGCAAATGCTTGAAGGGGGTGAAGCTGATGACATGCCAGGTGCATGTCACCATTCCCTTGCATGTGTTCACTCTATGACCCTTCTCTTTCCTGGGCAGTTAGGTAAGTAGAGGGGCTGCCAGAAACTGAACCGTGACATGACAGAGAAGGTATCTGCCCTCCTGGGGATTTTGAAGTAAAATACCCTCCTCATTTAGGCCTGGCTGAAGCAATGTAGTCTGGAGACAGGAGAATGGAGGCAATGATCCTGAGAGAGAGCCCAGAGAGGAAGAGAAAGGAAGGGTCTAGGAAAGTTAGTTCAGTGGAAAGGCAGCCTAGACCCTGAGCCTGCAAATGTCACAGGCAGTATTTCCCAGCCCAAAACGGCCCCTGAGCCAGGGTCCAGGGGCCTACCGACTGGCCTGTCTTGGTTCGTGATGAGGAGAAAGCCCCAAACCTGCCATTACCAAGTCCCATTCTCTCTACTCTGCACACGCCATGCCTCTGTCACCGCTTATGACCTTGGTCAGGCCGTGCCCCATGGGACTCTGCTCTCTCCCCCTCCTTTGGGATCAAATCGTTAAACCCCCCCCCCCCCATTCCCAAGACTGGCCTTCATGCCCTCAGAGCGCTTCGTGCTCACCTCTCACCTCAGGTGCAGAAGGCCCAGAGGCACTGCTCACCCCGTCCCTGCCCTGGGGGAACTCTCTGCTTCTGGCCCGTGTCACTCAGAGCTCGGCCCAACACCTAGCTCAGGGCCTGGCGGCCAGCCACGCGGCAGGTGTTCTGAGTAAGTCTGTTGATTGACAGAGTGAGAGTGAGCAAATGCCTGAGTAAACCGTCCAGCCTGTGAAAGCAGGAAAGAAGGCAGCGGCCCTGCCCCAGGTCAGACTCCAGCAGAGGCAGACGCAGGGCGGGAGAGCCCGGGGACAGGGCAGGGCTCTTCGTGCGGTGAAGGAGACGCGGTGAAGGAGACACAGTGCTAGTGCAGGGCTCAGGGTCAGTCCTGGGAGGCTCCCTGGAGGAGGGAGCAGAGTTGGGCCAGGTGGAGGAAACAGAACTCTGGAAGCTTCTGAAGCACTGATGGGGAGGGCCTGAGAAAACATGGGGATCGCCGAGGAAGCGAGCCATGACAGGTGCAGGCATCGGACAGGACTCGCAGGGAAGGGCAGAGATGTCCTGGTGGCATTACAACCAAAAGGGACATGCTGGGTGTGTCTTTGAGGGTCAGGAAGGAACCAAGAACCAGTACCAGTGTTCTGACAAGGAAACACACAATCCAATATCCCACACCTGACCTCCACCATCCCTGACACGGAGCAGGGCCTGCACAGGAACCAGGGGTAGTTCCAACTCTTTCCTCTGCCCACACCCCACTTCCAGACAATAAAACCAGCTCCAAACAGAAAGCAGAGGAATACCTGGCTGTGGGGTGGGGATGTGGGGCCCCAGGATCCAGGTGGGAGGGAAGCCAGGAGGGGCCTGACCACAGACAGAACAGGAAGCAGTGTCAAATAGATGACCTGGCCTGCCTGGCAGCCCCAGTCAAAGGCCAAGGCAAATCGGCATGTGTTTCTGAAATAATCCCCGCTGCCCGGCTGGTGTGGTTCAATGGTGAGTGCTGACCCATACACCAAGAGGTCGCCAGTTCAATTCCCGGTCAGGGCACATGCCCAGGTTGTGGGCCTATTCCTTGGTGAGGGGCATGCAGGAGGCAGCCAGTCAATGTTCTCTCTCATCGATGTTTCTATCTCTCTCTCCCTCTCCCTTCGTCTCTCTGAAATCAATAAAGGAAAAAAAAAAATTTTTTTAATAAATAATAAATACATAAAATAATTCCCGCCTGCTTCAATACCACTCCCTTCTTGCCTTTAGATGCCACACCGATGTGGTGAGCTCCTAGGCAGCCACTGTGAAGAAGCAGAACAAACCTGCTGTACACAGGTGCGTGCACGCGCACACACACACACGGTACACAGACCTAGCAGGAGGCGCAGAGGATGCTGAGAAATCCAGACTGGGACAGGCAGAGGGAGAGCAGGAGAAATGAGGCTGAAGAAAAAGCAAGAAAGGAAGAGGTCTTGGCTAGAAAGGCCAGGAAAGGCCCCCGCCTTGGAGTCATGGAGACCCAGGGCAGGGAGCTGCGTGGTGAGTGTGGGCCTCTGTGGGAGCCAGGGCCCATCTCCTGCTCTTTCTCTCGGAGTGTCTCGGTTCAGACATGTGACCTTGGACTGGGGGTGGGGAGGAGGGGTCTCAGACTCCAGGTACCCTACCCCACCCAAGGTGTTGCCACCAGGACAGAAGATTCCAAGGAGGCTCAGCCAGGGTTTGCACGCAGGTGAGAGCTGA